TTAAAACCGAAACATGTAAGGCAAAAGTGATAAAGAAGTGACCTAAAAAACATTGTTACACTCGACGGACTTTCTATTGACTTTGTGGCAGTCTGACTTCTATACACCAGACAACAGGTTCTATTCCTGCACAACTTACTGTATAGTATAAGCACAGTATTGCTCAACAAAAATATTGTTTTTATGAAAATGTGTCCATCTATATGCAACATATAAAGTACAGGACCAATGGCTAAACTTAAAAAGCTATCAGCCTACACTCAACCCTCCTACTTATTTCTGGTGTATTCCATAACACTCTCCATAGCTCAGACTATACAGCATCAAAATGGTAGGAAAATTAACAAATGATGAAATCGAAAGAATGTGGAAGGAAGATGTCATGACCTATTTCAAGATATTATTCTGACATTCGCTTGGACGGAATGAAGAAAACTATAAAACCCCCAGTCAGGATAGTTGGTGCTCCAGCTAAAATTCAAGCTGGGCATCTCTTCAGCCCAAGCCAGAAGCACTACCACCTGAGTGAACTTGCTCAGTCAATCCTCCTTCTGGAAGTTTGACAAAACACTACACCTCCAATCTCCATATACAGTAACTAGCACCAAAATAAAGTTGATAAATAATAGATAATGTGATGAGATGAGAAAAATCAGTTTTTAAAGAATACACAAGTATCTGCAACACAAACATAATATATATGAAAGAGTGATGTTTTAAATTAAAAAAAAAAAATAACCATATTAATTTTAGATACATGCTGCTGTACTTGTACGCTACATTTAGAAGCATCCGCACTCTTAAAAACAACACTGTTTATTAAATAATACTATATTTATACTGTATAATAAGATGTACGTTTCCAATTTCACTTTATGTAATATTCTGATGATGACACCTATGATGTGACATGTCAGAAAAGATAAAAAAACATGATGATGATGGTAAATATAAAAGGTAAAGCTATCCCTGTAGTAGGTCGTGTAGGCCCATATGGTTATGAGATGTCGAGGCTCCCACATTTTCTAGACAATCGGCCCACAGATGGTGGTGTGTTTGTCAACCTTACATGCTGGCTGTCCTTTACCCCACAGGAAAATTCCTGGTACTCATTCCTGTTAGAGTATGAGTTGCCCCAGAGCCATAGTGTGACTGGAAGGATTTGGTCAATTGAAAAATCCAAAGACTTCATTGGGAATCAAACCCACAACCTTCATAAATAATTAACAACGATGATGATGGTAGTGGTGGTGACGATGACGATGACGATGACAACAGCACACCATCATTGTTGTTGTTGCTGCTGCATGCATCAGTGAGTTATAAATGTCCCAAATATTTCAAATCAACACATCAGTATGTAAAATGTAAATGAAATTCACTAGAAACCCACCCAAGAGCAATTATCAAAGCTCAATATTCAACAGCAACTCACTAAGAAGGAAATTACTAGAAATCAGTGGAGGGCGTTGAAACACATCAGTACAGTCTATACCTCTTAGCTCGCCAATTTTCACACCTATGAGCTAATGATTAAGCTTTTCAAAGGTTGCCATTCCAGCCAACCACTGAAATATAACAGACTGGGCAATTACTTTTACTGGAAGACTGGAGAATTTTACTACAAAGACATCCATCACTCAGTGACTCAACGGTATGAATGCTTCAGTGTTTATGATGACTTTGTAACTGCTCTCAGGCTGGTCTCTAGTGGATCTCCTTTTCATCTGATGTGACTGTTAACCAGTAAAGGCCAAAAGCATATTCCTTCTACTGAGTTATTTAAATATTAGTCTTCAGTAAATATTTCCTCTTTTGCATATTTTTATGAATCACATGTTCAAGAAATGCATAATAAAATCCACACCAGAATGCTGGTCTAAATACCAGTTCATTAGTACTTACATTATCTGATGTGTCAAATAATTCTGTTGCAATTAGTTCTCCTTCAGTCTTAGCATCTTGCTCTTCTTCAGATTCTTCATCTTGTATCCGGCGAAGACGCCTGAATCTTTTCTATAAGAAATTTATTAAAAATATAACTTACTACCATTTCTAGAAAATATCACTTACACTTTCTTAACCCGTTGCCGTGGTTCGTCGTGTATGTTTCGTCAGGGATTTAAATCGTCTGGGGGGGTTCGACGTGTATGTTTCGTCCAGCTGCACACGTATGTTATAACGCCCATAATNACATAGTTATGTTTCAAATTCTAAGGCATTATATAAACAGAAAAGAATGAAACAGTAAATTCCAGAATATAATTTAGTTGTGCTCAGCCACTACTTTTAAAATGACTAATTACAACAAAACAAATGGTAAGAATATGTAAGAAGAAACCAACTCCATGGAGTGGGATCATTTCTGAAAAGCTAAAAGTTACTCAGCTAGTCAGAAATTCCCTGCCTTTAATAAAACTAATTAATTAGTGTTCACACAATAATCTGTTACTGGTTCCTAACTTATACCACATCTGTACAGTGCACCACTATTACATCACACTTCTATAAAATCTATTAGGACCCTCCTTCTATACCCAGTTTTCCAAATTCTATCTTCCTGTCAGGTATTCCAACTGAACTTCTGCAAGCATTTCTCATGTCTCCCATTCATGCTATATGCCCTTCCCAGCTCATCCCTTGATCTAATAATATAAATAATATTTGGTAGAGTATAAATGCCGGTCACGGTAGCCGAGCAGTCTAAGGCATGTACTGTCTTCGCTCGCTTGGAAACTGGTATCGTGGGTTCGAATTCCACTCAGGGCATGGATGTTTAGTTTGTGTGTTTGTGTACAGGTAGAGGCCTTGCAACGAGCTGATCACCTGCCCAAGGAGTCCTACCGAATACGTAAGATCTAGAAAAATCGAAGTGAACGGAGAAGTTCATGGAGGTAGGCTTAGGCCCACTGGGGCTGTAGTGCCAAAGAAAAAAAGAAAAGAGTATAAATAATAATTCTCCTCATAATGGACATTTCTTCAGTCTCCAGTTACTTCCACTGCTTTGGGTCACTCTACTCTTAAACACCCACAATCAATGTGAGCTATCAAGTCTCATATTTAAACAAAAGAAGAAATAAAACTGCAGTTTTGCATATGCTAATTTTTAGACAATAAATGGGGAGTCAAAGGATTATTCTGAAATGAATGACAGCAAGCATTCTCCAACTTTAATCTGTTCCTAGTTTCTTCATGAATGCAATTTGAATGTTACTGCTGCTCCCATATATTTTAATTTTTGAGTCTGCCCTTCAGTCTGGTGCCAATATATGAACATAACTAAAGTTCTCTGCATTTACTTTCACACCAACCTACTTACTAGTGCCTAATATAAGTTGTGTAATTCTCTTTACAGTATTTAAGTTCTCTTTTTCCAAATAAATTAATGTAATTAGCAAGCGCCAGATATGACTCATTCAACTCCAAACCTGCCTAAATTTCTTGGACCTTCCTAATAGCGCATTCTACACCTAAGCTGAAAACCAACAGCAACTAAGAAATCTCCCTGTCTCGGGCCACTGTGAATACAAAATGCACCAGACAAATATTCACTTACAGAGATTCCCCAACATGTTTCATTCACACACACTTTCTTCATCCTAATTGGTTTTATGGGTACATCAAATTCAGTCAGAACACCGAACATCACTTCTCTCCTAACCAAATCACACATTTTATTTCCATAAATACCAGCTACACTATCCCACTGCACTCTCACATTTTCTTCTGAAAGTGACAAAAGCAGAATATCTGATCAGAAGTTGACTTACAGGGTTGGTCTTCAGTGATGAATGTCACATCAAATTCTGCATATAGTTGACAAATGTTGTATCCCTCAATAACTATTAGTTCTATCACCCCATAAATAGGTAAAATTATATATTTCTTAAATTGTTGTGGCAATTTTTCCTTATTCTAAACAGAATCAGTAAGTCTGTAGATCTCAAAACATGGTTTACCTCCTACTTTGACCAACTGTGCCAGTATTTGATTAGGACCTGGTGATTTATACATTCCATATAAAACATCTCTGAGAGTGCACAAACACTGAAAATGTAACATTATGAATTCTCTGAAACGGTAACTTCAGTCCTCATTGTATACTAAAAACTGTTATCTATTAACTGTCTGATGATGATGACGACGATGATGAACACTCAAACATGTATTAGACTGATAATACCTTATTAACTTTTAATTAAAATTTCTCCATAAAAAGAACTAGGCTCAGGTAACAGTGGTTCAGCTATATGCATTTAAGTCACATAATACCTTCAGCACCATGCACGTTTAACATCAAATAATTAAATAAATACAACAGTATTAATTAAAAATATGATTTTAATTTACACATATGAAAATAAATGCGCATGATGAGAAATTTCCTTCACAATTTCATGACAAGCGAAGAAGAAGGAGAATTACATTTTTTAAGTAAAGCTTACTCTCTCAACTTTGACACCCAGGTTCTCCTCAATCAGATCATAATCCTCGTCTTCAAGCCGGTCATCAAAATCATCGTCACTCTTTTCTTTTTTACTTGGCCTCGACATGTCTGAATCTTCTCCATCACTTTCTTCAATTGGAGCATCGTCAATCAAATCCTTTAATTCCTCCCTGAGCTTTTCTTCGTCGTCTTCTATTGAACACATAAAAAATCAAGATTCTAACTGAAACCTGCTATGCAGATTTTGTATCATATAAACTCAACATGAAACATCCTTTAATTCTGTACTGTGTAAAAGAGCAAAGTACTCAAAGTGATTGATTGTAAAATTAATATGTTCATCAGTCACTAGAATAAAGCCTGTAATAGGAAACTGTTGAAAAGAAACTTCATCAAAAATAAATAACCCCAGTACTTTGAATGGCTCTGGAAAGATAGTTGTATATACACTAAGATACTACATTTGATGGAACAACAATATATGGTGCTACTATCTAGACTCCAAAGTTTTGGCAAACATTACCAAGAAAAACAAACTCCACTGAGCTAAGCCCTTCTTGAGATGCCACGAGTTGCACTTACTCAAGAATTTCCCAACAGTTTATGGAATCTGAAGGTTCATTACTATGTTTACAAAAGCCCTCAACTGGTTCCCATCCTGAGCCACATCAATCTAATCCATACCATCCCATCTCATACCTCTAAGATCCACACACCTAAGTCTTGGTCTTCCTAGTGATCTCTTTCTTTCTGGCTTTCCCACCAATATCCTATACGCATTCCTCTTCAGCCCTAATTTATGCTACATGCTCTGTCCATCTCATCCTCCTTTGACTTGATCATTCTAATTATACTTGGAGAAGAGTACAAGTTACAAAACTCATTATGCAGTTTTCTCCAACTTCCCATCACATCCTGCCTCTTTGATCCCAATATTCTCCTTAGTACCCTGTTCTCTAACACCCTCAGTCTATGTTACTTCCTTACTGTCAGAGACCAAGTTTCATACCCATACAGAAGTACAGACAAAATTATAGTTTTGTATATTCTAGTATCTACATGTTTAGACAGCAGATGATAAGACAAAAGATTCAGGACTAAATGGTAGCAAACATTACCCAATTTCAATATCCAATTTTAATAACGACAGGCTCGCTTCAGACATAATTCTCGACATTGAACTCAGTGCTACCCAAAAGACTACATTCATAGCCGTCTGGAGTTGACGCAAGGAGTTCTTCAAATTTGCGCAGTGTTTGTCATCATCAGCACCCTTTTATGATATTAAATGATCACTCAAAGCTGGGGCAGATAGACTCTCTTAGATACCAGCATGGATCCAAATACACCATGATCATCATTTTGTAAACTGCATATTTACTGAGACACTGGAAAAGAAACTGTAGTACTATGATTATGATTGTTGTTGTTCTGGAGAAGGCTTCAATACAGTTGCATTTTTTACATTATAGCCTAATGTGTGTACTGGAATGACAATGGTGAATAACTTGGGAACCCCAGTCAATGCTTATCTGATGAGTTGTTACAGTACATGTGGTAGAAAACAGATTGGGCAACAAGGTTTGTTAAGTGAGACTATGCTGCTAGAATTGGCAAATAGTACACAAATACAGGTTTTAAGTGTTTTTTCTAGAGACCTGAAGTCAGAAAGTTTAGAAAGTAATCGCCTGTTACCTTCTTCTTCCTCCTCACTGTCCATTGTCTTTATCCGCTTCACGGGCTTTTTACCATACTCAACTTCCTCATCCTAAAAAGAAAAAAAAAAAAAGATTATGTTTCTGATACTGGATGAATATTCAAACAATTTATCTGATTAGATGTTAAAGATTAACCAAGCACATCCCCCATTGGCATGGTTCATTCTATACTTTATCAACCAGGCACCATCTACCTAGTTGCAGAGACATTTTTAACAAAGCTACTTCAATTAACAATCAAGTTCCTTCCGNTTCAATTGTTTACAGTATCATAACTACTGACTTCAATAGTGACACACACACAGGAAATCCTGATGGCTGATAACAGTGAACATAAGAAACTGCAGCCAATAGCATTTTCAATGCTATGTAAATAAGAGGAGTTTGTGTAAATACCTCTCATACAGACACTATTTTATGAATTCAAAAGTTACTTGTAGTAACCACAATGTTCAAGTGTCTGTAGCACATTTTTAGATCCTACCTGGTGACAAAATTTTATTTTATTCAGCATGAAAAAGAACTGATAAAAGGATTTAAATATTTGCAAAAGACCAACAAGATGAGCTTAATGATAATGTCAAAGCACAACCATCCCTTCCTGAACACTATCCTTACTTTGTACATCATTTCACATTATGGCGCAAACATTTTGTTACCTGGACATGATACTGTCGAGTTCCAAAGTACATAAAATAATTTGTACACTACAAGCAAAGTCTGCATGCAGACTGAAAGGTATGTTCTTTGGCACTGAAGTAAATTCAAGTCTGACCTGCACAGATCCAACATATTGGAACAAATTTCTAAAAGAAATGGCAACTATCTCAAGAACTGGTACAATTTCAAGATTTACACATCTGAATATTTTTCTGGTATTAACTTAAAGACTAAGGACCTTCTGCACCAAGATTTTTCAATGATCCAATCTTCTATAGTTTAGATTCATTAAGTTAACTTACACAAGACAGAATTTCTGTCCAAAATGCCAGTTGACAAAAAGTGAATTAAAATTGTCTCAAGTTGTGAATATAAGTGACTGCCAAATTTAAAGCAAAAATGTTCTATCCCTATTACCAATGCTGGTAGAGAAAGAATTTTTCTATAATGAGAAATATGTGGGGAAGAGGGAGACAGAAGGAAAGAGTGAAGGAATAAACTTGTGATGTGAGTGAAGGGAAATTTTGGTATGACTTGGAAAACACCTTTCAGTTTGTATGTAAGCCACAGGATGAAATATTACTCAAACATCTGAATATTAAAAATATATATGGAAGTAAAATTTAGCTGTGAACACCTTTAAAATTTGAACACAACTATCGCAGTCAATCAGCTATACTTCAATCATAATTACTGTAATGAAAATAAACCATGGAAATTTAATACTTTTTTGCACCCTTTTCATAACTATGTATTTTATTGTGATGTTACTCATTTGTAAAAAACATAGAGCTGACCATGTGCTTAATCAATTAACCACCAAACCATGACTACGTATAGGGGAGTGGAGGTATGGCTTTGCCATTCTTCACCTTGATACTAGATAGAGATGAGTGGTCAGCTTCAAATCCCAGTCACTTTACCCCTTGTGAAATAGCCCACAGTACCCACTGGATAGGAGGCTGGATGGGCCCCAGAACCGCTCTGGATGCTGCTGAGTAGAGAAAAACTCTTGCCCATCAACAATTACAACCCAGCCATTCAGCCCATAAGCCAGGAAACATGTCATTTCTTTCCAATATTCACAAAATATTTTAAAACACCTTTAATGTTTAACCTTTCCAATCCCTTATATGCCTGCAACCATTTACTTCTAAGCAAGATGAGCTTAAAAGATGAAAATTGTGGAAATCATGAAGCCTTGCTGCAAATATTCTTACATATATTAACCTAAATCTGAACCTTACACCATCTTTTATGCTCACTTCAATTATGCATCAAATATTCGCATATCGGCCAAGGCACCCAATATCCTGACTGACACTTCTAGCGGTTTTCTTCAGTCCCCCCAAGAAAGTGTAAGGACAATGCCTCGAAACAGGCCATGACATTATCCCTTGCCCATTCATCATTAAGTATTTTAACCCTTGACGCTAGATAGCCTGGGCTACAAACAGCATCGTTAAATAAATGAAAAAATAAACAACATTAATCGTCCAAATTCGAACTGCTTTAGTCCTCATTCAAATTATGTTTGTTAAGTAATTACTTCTGAGGAAAAATGTAAAGTTCTCCAAGGGTCAAAATATGTACATTGTACATGCAGGGATAGTTCCTGAGGTAAAAGTTAAAACTGTCCCTCTGCTTAACAAATTACACTACGCCATGATACACATGGGGGAGTGGATGTATCCTTAAATCCCTATAGTTCCTGAACAAAAAGAAATTTTTTGCAACATACCTCACTCTCCTCGGCTTCAGAATCCAGGAAATCTGCCATTTCTAAATGATTTACTTCGTGAAGTATTTGTCCTGAAAGTAACAAAAAAAGGTGATCGGAACGAAAACTCCTCGCTTACGAAAAATTATACTATCCCAAATAAAATTTATACTATTCTCGGTGGTTGCATTTATTAATCTAAAACAATTTATTCATTCGCACACATATATTGAAACCACGTTTATTTATTTACTGGAGGATGTGACCTATATTAATTAACGCTATAACAGTTTTAAGGTCTGATACTTTATGGAAAATAAGCCCTAATACACTTAGCTACCAAATTGCCTTCGTATCTAATTTATCCAACAATATGGCGCTACCAATCGTAACTAATATTGTTCACGGAATACAGCACCCCCTGGTAACTGCAACCGGAAAACTAGAAACATGCGCAGTATTCAACTGCGCGTACCCCTACTGCCCTCTATATTCAGCTGCAGAACTGGAACCAACGAAATTGCAGCTATCATATATTTGTAAGATTTGTGGATTTCACGGCGGTGACTGAAGAAAGCAGTCTTCTGGGATGTGGCCTCCATCTTCAGGGTAGAAGGAAAAATAAGAACACCAGTCTGCTTGTATCGGTTCTCACGGTTTCTTCGCTTGCGGGTTTTATTTTTCCTTCTACCGTGAAGATGGAGGCGATAAATTCCTCCGAAACGTCGGATAACACCACATCTACACGGTGCCACATCCCAGAGGACTGCTTTCTTCATATCATATATTTGTTCGAACCATTCACAGAGGCCCCAAGAAACCAACTGGGTTGTCACTTTCTGCAGTTCTGGATTCAGGAGGAAATTATTCGGGTAATGCTTACTGCCACTCAGCCCAGAACCCTTTGTCTTCTTGTCTGCTCTCTAAAAACATAGAAATTAGAATATACAAAACTACAGTTTTGTATGTAGTCCTGTGTGGATGTGAAACTGGGTCTCTGACGTTAAGGGAAGAACATTAGACTGAGGATGTTTGAGAATGGATGTTGAGGAGAATATTGGGACCGAAGATGGATGAAGTGACAGAGGAGAATATTAGGACCAAAGATGGATGAAGTGATAGGAGGTTGGAGAAAAATACATAATGAGGAGCTTCGTAACTCATGCTCTTCTCCAAGCACAATTAGAATGATCAAGTCAAGGAGGATGAGATGGGCAGGGCATGTAAGAGAATGGAAAATAAGTGGAATGCATCAGGATATTGATGGGATAGTGAGAAGAAAAGAGACCACTCAGAAGACCAAGATTTAGGTGGCAGGATAACATTAAAATGGATCTTAGAAAAATAGGATGGTATGTACCGGATTAATCTGACTAGGGATAGAGACCAGTGGAAGGGTCTTGTGAACATGGTAATTAACCTTCAGGTTGCACAAAATGTTGGGAAATTCTTGAGTATCTGCATAATGGGCATCTTCTCCAGAAGGACTCATCACCATGTAGTTAATAACAGTGAAGCACAAGGCCATAATATTGCATGTCTGCCATTTTCACATTAACTGATCTGCAAGCAAGAGTCTATGAAAGTTACTTCAATTATGGGCTCGTTTATAAACTCAGACTTGGGGATGCCAAATTTTTAAATCATTGTATGACCTTGCAGATTATCACTTCTTTCACACATTAGCTACATTCCCCTTCATTTTTAGTAATTTGAAGAGCATGAATATGAGCACATCATTTATAATTCCTTCTACAAAATTTACCTGTTAAGTTGTACACTACATATTGTGGTGAGAACTGAGCACAGTAGGATCATGTTGCCTGGCCTTTGTGTACCTCTTGAACCATCTGAAATATTTGGGAAACAGGCTTGCTCACAAAGAGGTCATCCATGAAGTTTCTAGAGCTTTCTCTGCTGGTGAAATACCTATGAAAAGGAAACGTGATGAACTAATAAGTTACTAAGTCAGTCATTTATTAAGTATTTAAATTCCCAACATATTCTTGGAAAAGGCCATATATTTGCCAAAATGAAAGATTTGTATGAAAATTTTGTACATGGGGGGGGGGCAATTTCACGATGTTTTGGAATTATTCCATATTTATGGTAATATAAAACAGAAATACATTGATGTTATTCTGAACTACAGCAGAACAACACAGTGCTTTAATCTGCACCTGGCCTGCAATCAACCCTCAAACACCATATCACCAACACTGCCACAAGACAATAACAGCAGAACATGAACTTTAGGTGACAGCTCCCTGTCAATTCTCAATTACATCAGTAACGTCTTTTAAGTATCCTATCCTCCATACATGATTCTAATTGTTAAGTAACTCATACAGACTGCATACCTACCTTATTTATATTTGTTTGGCTTATTAGAATTACAGAAAAAGCACTCTCCTAATATATATAAAATCCTTCTTCCATTATGGGGGCACGCGGTAATGTAGTTGGTTGATGCACTATGCTACAAGCCAGAAGGTCACGGATTGAAATCCCGATGAGGTCATTGCATTTTTTCAATTGACCTAATCCTTCCAGGTGCACTATGGCCTGGGGTCAACTCAGCCTCTAACAGAAATGAGTACCAGGAATTAATTAAATAATTTTCCTTGTGAGTAAAGCTCAGCTGGCGCATAAGGCTGACAACCTTACCACCATCTTTGAGCTGATTGTCTCGATAATGTGGGACCCTCAGCTAAAACCCTATAGGCCTTCACGGCCCGTTACAGGGATAGCTTTACTTTTTTTTTACTTGTTCCATTATAGCACCACTTCAATTTTATTTACATATGATGCAATCAGTTTTAGCAGATACTGGTACCTTCTAGTACTATGCCAAGCAAAATAGATAGCTATCTTAACTCATAAGCAACACTAGCCAAGATCATGTAAAACTTCCTCTCTACACATTTTAGCAGAAAAGTCTGATGACAGTATGAGATTGATGCCAAAATATTTAACCTCTTGAATTATTACAAATAGTCATTCATTGAATGGGCTTGTAACATTTTTATATCTGCTTACTACTATGGAATGAAACCACTTATTCTTAAATTTATTCTAATAAGTTTACTGGTATAGCACACATGGAAAAATAGTTATGAATGAGAATAATTAATGTTCCATTAGTTTTCTTTTATTTTTCATCAAAGTTTACAAAATTTATACCTACCAAAATCATCTAGATAAAAAAAAAAAACAAATTGATGTTACAAATAACTGAAATGAAAGAACAAAAGGAAACAAATTTAATACAATATGAAGAAAAATACACACTGAAATACAAATGTGAACGACAGAAACATTTTGAGATAATTCCTGTTTATTTGTTTTTGCACAAGCTGCAACTGTGACACTGAATGTGTAATGCACGGCACACCCGAAGTTAGAAATATATAGTTCAGTAGATCAACTTTTTTGTGTTTTTTGGCTGCAAATCACAGTGAACAGTACAGAATTAGCCCTGATAAACCACGATTAAATTATTCTATCAGACTGGCTGTGCAAGTCATCAGATCTACTTGGCAATGGTTACTGAGCTTACCAAGCTAAATGGGCTCTTCTTAGTGTTACAAACTTCACAGTTGACAGCAACAAGTTTATCACTGGAGCTGCAATATTAACATATTTTCTACCTATTCTGAAGTGTCATGATCACCACAAGTGAGAGAGGAGCCAATTCAATGATATATCACCTACAGACAAACTGTACAAAACTTCATCTGTAACAAACTTCACAATAATTTTCTGAACAAGTACGTCAATTACATACACAATCAAATTCATAAATGTTCATCACTGTTGTGTACTGTCCAGTGTTGACAGAACTGTTTAGAACCAGTTAATAACTGATGAAGATATGGTAGGAACTACTGTTCACTGTTTCCAGCTTCCATTAAAGTTTTTTTTTTTCTAAGAGTTGCAGTAATTTCTAGTTCTTATTAGGGAATACTAGTTTCATTTACTGTACTTAGGAGTTTCTAGTTTCCAAGAGCAAGAACTGGTAGTAACAGATTTCAGGTTTTCTCTGTTATATATAAATGACAAAAGAATACTTATGTGTATACAATGATATTAAAACAAGATATTACTTGTAGAATAAAATTATATGGACATTAAGAAACTAGCAAGAAGTAGGCAGTAAGCAGATCCTACAAAGAGTACCATCTTCTGGGATGTAATGCTGTATAATCCAGTAGAAATCCACAGATATTTCAGAGCAACATACTGCCTCCATCTTCAGGATCAATGGTAAGCCAAGTGAGAAACCAACATGAAGACAGGCATATCTTTCTCTTAGGTCTGACTCTCCCATAACAACTGATTTTCTTTTCTGTCAGAACGTTGAATAAATTGTGCAATGAAGTCATCCATGTACAGCTTATGTGCATGTCCTTCCACATCTTCTGTCAACTGCCTTGCAGCTTAATGATGTGTTGGTGGTATGTCTGTGGCTACACATATCTTGTCCTTTCCTTAGTGGATGCCCACTTCATATGAGAAGCTAAACATGTCACATAATTTATATACTGATATTCTGTAATACATGTGTACCTTGGATATGTAATGTCTGAAAATTATCCTTTCCTTGAAAAGTATTGTAACTTCATTTGCAGCCAGATATTCAGAAGGGGTATAATATTCTATCTTTCAGCATCATCAAAAATATGTCTTAGTTTCCATAGCATGTTACAGTCCAGGTCATTATTACCAACGTCACTGTCATTGTTTGAAGAGTGATGAAATCTGTCATGTTCCACTGTTTTTCCATAAAATGAAAAGAACTGTTCAGCAGTCAACCATCAGGTTGCCAGTTGCATCATGTCCCATTTGAATAATAACTGCAGGGAACAGAAACATTTCAGATTCAGTGACATCAAGTACTAGAGATGACCCATCAAGGAAATCTAAGTACTGTTGCTTATATCAGTATCCTCCAGCAACAATGCAATAACATGCAAAAGACAACATTAAAACACTGTATGGGGTTGAGTATTTATATGGAGTGCAAAGTTCTGTCTTTTATCCGTCATATCATCAGTGAATTGATGGATATTGCTTGTTTGTTGCACCCCTTGTAGTATAAGTGGAATTAGAAACAACTCAGAACTGTCATCTGTGCTGTTGTCTTGAACAACACTAGCAGACTGGCCCATTGGTTGATAATGCTTGTACAATCCTTGAGAGAGTAGAAATGGAACTTGTTCTTTCATGTCATCTTCCTCCTTGTCAGTTTTCCTCAGTTGTCTTTGATTTGCTGCCAAGTATTAAATCTTGTTGTCATGTCATGTCCCTATGGTGTGAAACTAGAAACAAAACACTCAAAATGCATGTTAAGGAGACAGAAATAGAATATGCTGGCAGTGTTTGCTTCCTGTCTCATGAGACCATAATGGTTGAGTCTCATAAATGAGGTTTACTATATGATATGCCCACTCTTCCTGTTCTTAGAACACCAGAACCACTGTATAAAAGGACACAGTTATGTTTACGATCATTTGTTCTGACTGGACAGTGGTGACAAAGCAGAGTGGGAAGACTAGGGGTTATAATCCATGGCTGCACCATGTACATTTGTCATAAAAGTTTCTGGCACTTTTCAGAGCGAATTTTGTAATCGACACAGTCCGAAGGTAATGTAAACTAAGTGCATATATATGTATATACAGACTATTTCAAAATATCAAATACAGATAAATGGATTAATTCTTAATAGTCCAGTTTTTATTTGGAGCTCATAGCTCTAAATATGCAATAAATACAATTTACTTTTCTGAATCATTGCATTTTGGACATTAAAAACCTAGATCGTCAGATAGTATGCTGGGGGTTTAAATGCTGTCTCTTAACATTTTCACTGCATATTATTTTCCCACTATTTTCCTAAAATAATGCGATGTTATGTAAAAAATGTGGGAAAAATAAAAAAAAAATCAGTTTTCATAGCCAAGTGATTGAAGTCAAATAATGTAGCATTAAAGCAAAGATCGATTCTTGAAGTGAATTGAAGTTGAATATTGTACTATTTGACAATGCTTGTTCAAATTCAGCTGAATATCACAGCTATAGGTTTAAGGGTTAACATTACAACTGAAGGAAAAAAATATATATATCTTACCTAGAATGAAAACTGACTAATTTTTCCATAAAAGTGCACACTGATGTTACTTCCAACCAAATTTTGACATCTTTATGAATGTTTATCTAATGCCTCCAATAAAACCATCAGATGAAATTTAATGGAAACTATTGTTTATTTCCCAGTCCAAGCCTCATTTCAGTATGTAGCTTAAGAGCATTAGCAGTTCATGTTTCAGAATTACTCATTAGAGGAAGTTCAAGTAATACTAAATGGAGCTGAAATCTACAGGTCATGTCACAAAACTTAGCACTTGGTTTTCATATTTCATTTTTTGAATGACCAAAAACAGGCATGCATTGGTCACTAGTATATTTACTGTTTAACAATTTTAAATAAGTGCATCAAAATATTTCAACACTTTATTATTAGTCTGAGATACAAGCAGTTCACATCTGCCTCATAAGCACTGAACACCATACCAGAATCACATAATAATTATATTATAATAAATAACTGGATGAACAATGTAAAGTGCTGGAATCCCACACTCACCACCTGTCATTCTTATAACATTAGACTTTCTTGCCTTAATAGGAAAGTCTAATAACTGTTCTCATCATTCTTATCTCCAAGCCTACAGTTACCAAAATTACATGAGTCTACCTGGAATTTTAAGATGTAGTAATGCACACTCAGATACATTATACCATATGCAAGTTGAAAAGTATAAACAATTCCAGCGCTTGAATATGCACTTATGATTAGAATGACCTAAATAATCATTACAGTAAGTTATAAATATAACACCAAATTATTTCTATTTCTCCAGTATTTCAAATTAACAAAATGAACAAAACTCAACCTACCTTAAGTTTCAAGATACCCATTGATACAATACAATAATTTATAATGATGTAACTGACATAAAATATAAATGCTTCTATCAACTTTGGAATGTAAACAAAATATAAATTAATGTACTCTTAATGCATTAAGCATCATGTGAAAATCAACTGAAAATTCATTACATTGGATTTGTACATAAAAAATAAAATATTCGGCATGTATAAAAGTCTTTAAGATTCTGAATTAAGGTGTAACTTTATAATAACTGGTGTACAAGTTATCAAACAATTAAGTAAAATAGTATTTTATAGAAATTACATTAACATTCAAAAAGCATCGACTGGAATCACTATTCTACGCACTGTATTGCACATTACATTGCCTTTTAGAAAGCAAACAAGCCTGAACTTCATTACCTAGTCATACCACAGACCAAATAGGCCAAACAAGCAGAATGGGATAAATTAATACAATTCAAAGTACACATCAAATAAAAACATCCTGATGCTATGAAATATTAAATAAAACAATGTAAAAAAAAGTTCTTTTGGGCATGCTGCTATATGCAATAGCTGTAATATCACCATGGTAACTATTGTTTTCCTTCCCGGCTGCCTCTGCTTCCTCCACCACCACGATACTTCCTTCCACCTTCACCAACTTCATCCTTATTTCCACGGTAATAATGATTACCATTAAAATGACCACCACGGCGATGGGAGTTACCATGATTTCCATTGTTACTATTTGAAAATCCATACCCGCTTGATGTACCATTGCTGTGAAGGTTGGGAAGAGATGGGGCAGGACGACCCACCAGCTGTGTTTCTTTTTCTAGACGTCCAGCATTACCACCACCATTTGTACAGCGCCGATGTGACACAAACTCAATCCTTAAATATATGGAAAAATCAAACATCACATTCATAATATCACAATGAATAAAAGGTATGTGAACACATGAACAATGAATACAAGTGGTGTGTAATGTATGGGCAATGAACAAACTGAGTGTAAAATGTATCAGTTTGGGGTTAACACACAGTGAAATAATTTATACTTTTAGTTCCTTAATACAAACACCATGCATTCTGATCTTTAAATGTGAGGAGAAAAGTTTCAAAATATTCCTGTACATAGACTTCCACAGAATTAAATATTTCCTTTTGAGATGCACCCTTTGAAACCAACTGAAGACAAACACAGAGTACAAAGAAAACCCAGTGTTAAAGGTCCATGGGCAATTTGGAATCTACTGCCTTGCACCTTCATATACCTGTAAATTTACAAGCTGTCACAGGAAAATTTCCATTTAAATTTATTCACTGAAAGACAGACATAAAAGGCAGCAGGTTCCAATTTGTCCATGGATCTTGATGCATTTACCACCAAAAAAACGTATTGGAGCAAAGAAATTGGTACATTAAAAAAAAAAAACTTTCTGGATGGAACATAGCCTTCCAAGATGTAAATCCAGTAAAACAACAGATATAATATGAACAAAATCACAAAACACCAAGCCCAACAAAAACAAAATACTGATATTAACCTACAAAACCAGAAAGCAAAATAGGCCATGTTCACATAGAGCAGAAAAGAAACAAGCAAAATCACAAAATTATTCAGGGACACCCAAATAAAGATTACCTTCAAAACACAAAACACAATACAAAATATAGTGAAACAACACCCACGAAGAAACAACTACAATGAAAGTGGCATCTACCAAATGAAATGCTTAGACTACCTGCTCACATACAGAGGACAAAAGGCAGAACATTCTGCACCAGAAAATAGAATATACAAGCAATTAAAAATGACAACAGCAACTCAAAATACTCAAACCACATGTTAAACAGAGGATACAAATATGGAACCATAACTGAAAGGTTTCAGAGAGAACAATCATTTGAATGTGACTACACCATAAATCTGTCATTACTTACAGAATAATGAACACAGGCTATCAAGCTTAATTTTTTTCTGAAATTTAGTTGGAAATGAAAGACAAATTGACATTTATGCCAGCAGCATGGACGACTTCAGAATCTGTGTAATAAATTGTAGTTACTAATAACTAGTCTTAACAGTACTGTGCCATGTTGTAAATATGTCTCTTTACCCTCCTCTGTGTTGAGAATGCTGCCCATGATGCCAGTAGCTCTGTGTATGGAGTGGAGGAAACCTCTGCGACTGTGACTGTTGCTGATTGTGAGATCGATGATGACCATTACCACCACCTCCACCAGCATTACCTCCTCCACCCCCACGATGACTGTTATTTCCTCCTCCTAGCTGACGTCCACCTCCACTTCCACCTAGGTTCTTACTCAGGTTTGCTCGAATTGTCGCTAACTATAAAGAGAACTCAGATCAAGAGTATCAGTCGTGTTGTTCATTTCTGAAGTTTAACATGTCATTTTTATGTTGCAACATTTCTAAAGAAGACTGTGTAGCACCTCAGGCAATTTGGTGCCAATATCTCACACAAAGGTCCAGGTTCAAACCAAAACCAGTCCATGTGGACTGAAAATCCCTGTCTAGTGGTGGAACTCACATTTGAGGGCTCCTGGGTTTGAACCTCAACCCAGTAACGAGCTATTCTGACTGAAGATTTTCATGTTCTGGGTCCATCCAGGCAAATGCTGGGACGACACACATGACCTCCTTATTATTTAGTACAAATTAGTACGATATACTGATAGTTTGAACAATGGTACAACATAACAATGCTAGAAAAGGGAGGTGTCAATTTTTCAAGTATGAAACACACTTTACAATTTCACACAAAGCAATTAAAGAATCCTCCTTATTGATACTTACTATGCATGAAATATTAGACTGAGTTTTTGGTGGATCATCAGAGAGTGATGTGGCTGTTACACTGTTGGAAAATTGATAATTTCATTTTTAAAATACTTCTAGTATTTATATGCCAGACAGAAATTCAAACATTGTGGGCTAATAATTCTCTCATAAATTGGGGGAGGGGGGTTTGCATGGATGATGAAATAAAGAGACTGAAATTCTGAATACACAAACACACTTACTTACTCATGAAGCTGAGCCCTTCTGGAGGAGTGGCAAATTCTGCAGCTACTCAAGAATTTCCCAGAATTTTATGGAAACACGCACACATGCTTAATTAACATACACCTATTACTTGCATTATGAACTACCTTATTATTTTGGTTTATAAGCAATAATTTTATAATCTCCTGAACTTCATAGATAAAGCCTTGCACAATTTCATAGGAACTATCAAATGTGCTTTAAGTAATAAAATATTATTGAATATCTTGTAACATTCCTTTAGCATTTCACGATGTAAACCATGAATTATTCTATCAAAACTAAATTTATTACAGAATTTGAGGTATAGCTGGATAGTGGTTTAAGACAAAAAATAAAGTAGAAATAAAATCCCCCAATTCAAATTATAACACATACTCAAATTGGAACACTGTAAAACATGGAATTTCTCAGGATTCAATACTTGGTGCTCTGCTCTCTCACATATTTCATAATTTTCCAACATCCACCAACTCTTAACTGAAACCTGTACTTTTGATAATAATATGATTGTTGTTGTTGTTGTTGTTGTTGCTGTTGTTGTTGTTGTTGTTGTTACTATTAAAAATGCTCCAGAACATGACCGTTTATATGAGGGTGAGTCAATAAATAATTTACAAATGGATATAGAACTTAAATAAGAGTACTGATTTGAAAAATGCTTTTATTTCTCAACATAATCTCCCTGTACACTGAGGCACTTGTCCCATCGTTTCACAAGCCCCTGAAAACCAGCAGCATAAAATTCTTTGGGCTGCTGTTGGAACCAGGTGGTAAATTACCTTTCTACAATTCTGTTATCACTGTATGAGGCTAGCTGATTTCCATTTTCAAACTTTCTTAATGTATTAATGAAGGAATAACTCTATCAGCATAATAAATTGTGAATTATAATGTATTTAACAATCATCAATTTAAGGAGCAGTTACTGTCCCACTGTCCATAACCAAATACTAGCTCTCTGTTGAGTTGTTCTTTCAAAGCAACAGCATGGTCACAGCACTGCACTCATTTCCTTCCATTAACCATACTCCATTCCCACAACAGTATTTTAGTCATGATAGAATATCAATGTAGTCAATCAAACAAGCTTAAGATGGCTGCAAGATAAAGGATTTTTTTTTAATATTTTTCTGGTTGTGTAGTTTGTATTATAAACAGTCCATAATAAACTCAAGATTCAATACTTAATAGCATAAAAATACTGATGTGCCTCTTAAGAGTACACACGGTAAATAACAGTATTTCAAAGGTGAAACCATTATCATGCATAGTTACAAGAATAAACATTACTTCCACAATAATGAGGAAAGAAAAGCCCTGAATATGCTGTCTTTATAAGAAATTAACAGGAAACATAAACTTTGTTCTTTCATCTATGATTACTTATTACTCAGGTGCTTTTATGGCAATTCCTTTGTTGCAAGGTAATGTTTGACATTATTTAAGGATATAAAAATGTTAGTGATGTTGTGAAGGTTGTAATAATCCTTAACTCTGAAATAATGACAACCAAAATTGCAATACCATTGAACACAGAATTTTTCTTACATAAGGTTGCCTAATCAGTATGTATAACATACCCTCAACAACATTTCAACAAAATCTAGATGCTTCCACCTGTCCAGTAAAAAAAATGTAAGATACAAACAATGCTCTGTATATAATCTACCTAGCCATGGAGTACCTAGGTGAGATACAAGAAACGTTTTCACTGTTTCTCAGTAGTCGCCTTTGAGTCTGACACATTTCCTCTATTTCATGAGCAAAGGCAAAATGCCTACAATACAGAAGTCTCTGTCTCAGTCCTCAAACCCTTCTGAAACAGCACCTCTAGGTTTACACTGTCTGAAAACCAACATCAACACAACATTTACTTCAGGTTTCACAACAGGAAATAATCACTGGAGGCCACATCTGGGCTGTAGGATTGTTAGTTTAATTACTCAAAGCCACAGTTCCTTATGAGAGTGACTAATTTTTGTAACTCATGTAAAGGAGCATTGTCATGAAGAAGCAGGACACTCCCATGTCATTCTCTCATCAGTTTTCTTGATTGCCTCATTTAATTTCTGAAGCACAGTAGCACAGGCATTTGTAGTGAGTGCTGTCTTGTGTGACATAAGAGTCCATGCACTAAACTCCCTTCAAATCCTAGAACACCATGGCTATGATCTTTCCAGCAATTGGTGGGGTCCAGAACCTCTGGTGGGTGAATCACAATTATTATATAAATTTCTACTTTGTCTTAGACTCCTAGTGATGGATCCACTGGTAATGATTCTTAGGACAAATGTTTCTGGATCACCTTCACAAAATCCAAAAATCTCCCCTAAAAACTGAGTCCTGTACTGTTTCTGAAGTGGAGTCAAAATTCTTGGAACTCAACAAAAACTAACTTCCAAAAAGCCCAGCTGATTACGGAGCATAGCCAAGACTGATGGATCTGATGGATTACATTCTCAGACACTCAGAGACACTTTCATAATGCTCCCTTGCACTGTCAGGTCTTCTATTTTTGGCACAACTGCAGACTAGTCACTTCCACTGGCCTTCCAGGATTACAATCATCACTGATGGGTTCTCTATCCCACTTGAACTGCTGAGACAAATATTTCACTTGGTATTTCAAAGAAGCACTAGCATCACATATAGCTAAAATCCATTCATGGATAACTTTTGGTTCATTCCCTCTTTTTGTGAGGAATGTGATGATTCATTGATGTTCTAACCTCCAAAAATCAATGTTTGCACATGAGGTTAATTTACACTGTTGGAACATAACAAGTTTCAAATGGGATGAGCTGGAACTACACATACAACATGCAGATCCATGTCAAAGCAGGTAACAACAATCAATTATGCATTATATCCCAGAAGAGAGAACTGTTCAGGTTAGTCCTTCTGTCATTGAGATACAATGCTAACATCTGGTCTAAGTAGATTATATACCTAGGGTCCCTCATATTTCCTGAAAACCCATTTAGTAGTATCCTGCCATCTACCCCTAGGTCTCTCAACAGGTCTCTTCCCTTCAAATTTCACACCTGAAATGTTCCAAACATTTCTTGTTTCACCTAAATGCTATGTGAGGATGACATTGAAATGAACCTTGCAAAAATGCCTGAGAGGATGTAAACTGGATCAGGCTGCCTTGAGACAGAATTCTATGGCAGGAATACATGTCATTAGTGATGAAATTTTGGGTCCCATAACAAGAGGAAATTTTAAGGCCACAATGCCCTGTTTGGACAAAAGAACAAGGACTATATTTTCTATGGTCCTTGATACATATCATGTATAAATAATCTGACAAGCAATATTTTAGAAGCAAAATATACACTCAGTTACACTTACTTCTCTCCTGTTTTCTTCATTTTCTCGACGAAGACGCCTTATAATTTTCTCTGCCTCTTCAAGTTTCACAGCTAACATCTGTTCATCCAGTACTTCTTGGGAGATGGTATCCCCTTCATTTGTAAATGTACCAGTCTGATTCTGAGCATCCAATTTCATTCTTGGTGTTATTTTACTCCCAACTGCTTCCAATTCTTGTCTTCTACATTCAAGTCTCTCCAGCTTCCTACACAGCAACACATAGATACTGAAACCAGAGAAGAGACAATTATGATGCGATGATGCTCCCCCGTCCCCCATGCCATATACATACTGGGAGACAGCATCATTGCACCACTTTACTCTGGTCTCAGTGTAACACAAGAAATGATATCAGTTTTAAAACCATGTCTCTATATATGTTACCCAATAAATGAAAACCATCCTTTATAAGGTAGGCCACGCCACAGCTCAAGCGGTTAGTCACTGGCTTTCCACTGCGGCGGTCCGGGTTCGATTCCAGGTCTGGTCAAGTGGGATTTGTGGCAGACAAAGTGGCGCTGGGGCAGGTTTTCTCTGAGTACTTCGGTTTCCCCTGCCAATCTTCATTCCACCAATTGCTCCACAATCACCCTCATCTACCTTCTGGGGCTGGTACAATAGGCCAGAAGTGGCCGCAGTACAAGGGACTTAGTCCCAACCCACTAGCAATAAAAAAAAATCCTTTACAAGGATGCATCCAACACTAAAAAGAACTTTCGTCTTATGCACCTTTACTTAGACAGGTGCCACCTGTATGAAGTCAAATTTCCTGTTTTTGTTTTCTCACACTGGACTGTAGTATAGTTATGTTCCTTGTATAAGATGACGGTCAAAATGAATCCAGTTTATTCCTTTGGATATAATTTATATTCACTTTAACAATAATGTATTCCTATTTTAGATTATCAGCTGTGCCCTGTTCACTAAATGTAACAGCCTTCCCTCACTGTTGTTGAATTTTTAGTCCAGTATACTATAAAGAATATAAACAGTGCAATTATTTCTGCAGTACTGTGATGGTATGAAGTGTCTGAAGCTGGAGAATGGCTAAAGGTGATTTTATGATGGGAACCACAGAGCAATGCTCCATGTGTATGCAAGGGGCAATGCCACTGCAATAAATTTTCAAATTCAGTTATGTACTTTGACCTCTTAATGCAAGACGAACTTTGGAATTCAAGTTGACAATATGATTCAAGGGGCTTCTTATGGTTGTATACTGACCACGTACTTGGCCTGAGTTGCTTACACTGTCTTGTTACACAGTACAACAATGTCATCAAAGAAGTAACTGTCTAGTCTTAACACTGGATAGGCCACTGAGTTTGGTTGTGCCTGATCAATGCTCTTTCTTCCAGCATGAGTCTGACAGTGTTCTTCAGTTGATAATCCTCAGCTTAATTTTTTCCAGTTTCCAAATTCCAGATAACACTCTGTGCACGCGTGCATATGCATGTGCATGTGTGCGCATGGGGGGGGCATATATGTGTGGAGGGCAAGAAGGAAAGACTTATAAGAACTGAGGAGTTGAGGACTTGCTTAGGCAGAAGCTACCCTCCTTATTCATACTGTCATGTGTTCAATAATCAGATACAGGGTTTGGATCTGTAATTAGATTAACTGAAATCTTGAAACTCATAACTACAAGTAACTACAGCACTATCACCAATTCACATACACCACAGTTCACTACAGCAAGCATTAAGTCTTCTCAGTCTGCCACGTCTTCACTGACTGTCACCTGGTAACACTCCCAACACTGTAGATTCCTCAGCTTGTGTGTTCCATGGCTCCAGGCCTCATTGGCTGGCACATGTCCCAGGACTAAGTAGGCATTACTTGGTTACTGTCTCCTAACAATGGCTATTCCTCATGCCCTTGTGGCTCATAAACTACACTCAATCACCATCTCAAGGCTGTACTGCTCTGATACTGGCCTCAAAGCAAGAGCCCAGGATCCCCTTTCTCAGACTGACTGTCTCAGGCTGCCTGCCTCCAAACAAGGCTCAATTGCTAACCACGGGCTTTGGTTCTCCAGATATAACCTTGGTGGCGGACCACACAGAAAACACTCCTTCCAACAGTTCTTCTATTGTTATGTATAATGCATGGCTGTGGTCATGTAACATTTACTGAGCAACTGCCTAGCAACAGACATGTTTGGAAAGCTGTTGCCTATCAACAGCTGTCTATGCTGGCTTCATAATTCTGGTTTTCAGCAGAAATGCCACAATATTATTGGGATGGAGCTCAATCTCAATCACCTCTATACTAATATGATCCATATAGCTGGGTTTGGTGGAGACAATGCTGGCTTAACAAAGCCGGATGCTATGTCCCAAGCTGATATAATGCTTAGTTACTGTTCTCTTGTATCCCATTGGTTCACCCTGTTAGTCAGATACAGCCAGTGGGGACTGATGAGTTGACTTACAAGTTCCCTGCTGTTCCAATATAATTAATGTGTTGACATTAATCATCATAGCTTACATCAAATGTTTCAATTTAATGAAATTTCTGATACAACAAAGAAATTAAATTATCCTAAATTTTGGTTTGCAAGTGGTAATACTTCAATTTTAGGAAAAAATATGACATAAACCCATACCATCCAGCAAAATGTACACTTCAAAAATTACTATAGTTCTGGAACTATAGTGACTAGTAAGGTGATTTTAGCATATATACATTTTAATATGCCCTTTACTACAGGAATTGCAGAAATATAGAAACAATTATACATACAAAATTTCAAGTCATATTTCTTTTTAAAAGCAGAAAACTGTAATGTTTTCAGTATAAATCGATCTCACTCTCTCATTCACACATACCACAGGTATTCCAAATTACAGAGGGTCAGAATTAGGAATGTTCGGTGTTCAACAATTCTACGTATCTAGAACTATTGGTTGATAAAGACCTTAAATTAGTAATTCAGAATGTGTCTGAAAGATGCTGGAATCTATTGCTAAAACAGAACAGAAGCATGGAACATGTTTTAATCAAATCAACAGCCAACTGCATGGAAATGCAAATCATACTAAAACCTATATATGCAGATACCTACATCACAACAACCATATATGATTTACAGACCTACCAATCCCTCCCACTGACAAATTATAAAATACTTTGACAATACAATGGATGGGGCCATTTCAAAGCTCAAGCAGTTAGTTGCTGGCTTCCCACCATGGTGGCCTGGGTTCGATCCTTGGTCTGGTCAAGTGGGATTTGTGGTGGACAAAGTGGCACTGAGGCGGGTTTTCTCCAAGTACTTCGGTTTCCCCTGCCAATCTTCATTCCACCAAATTCTCCATCACCATAATCACCCAGGGCAGGTACAATAGGCCAATCATTGGCCGCCATGCCGAGTGGAGTCAGTTGGAGTCCACCCTCCATTAAGCGAATACAATGGATAATGCTACTTAGCACATTCATTATGGAGATAAAAATTAGCATAACAGTACTTTTTCTGCTCTTCAACAATTCCAGTGAGATATACATTCTTGGTCTTGGCCTCCTGAAGAGCTCCCTTTAGTTCTAAAATTTCTTTTTCCAAGATTTCAACTTGTAGTGAAGTCATATTCAACTGCTTTGGACTCAATATTACCTGCAGACAAAAAAAGAAAAAGAGTCTTCTGTAATTATACTGACACTACAAGTTACAACAATTATACAAAACTGTTTACATATTTTACTTCTATTACCTTTGGTTTACTATCATCTTCAGGGGAGGAAGGTGATGGGCTACTCTGAATAAACCCACTCTTGGTAAACACAAGCTGGAATTGCAGATCTAAAATTACAAGTGTCTAAATTAGTTTAGTTATGTTCTTACAAAGAGAGGAAGGAGACATACTGCTGTATATGGTCATGAGACTGTACTCTTACTCTGAGAGATTTGCGTAAATTAGAAGTGTTTAAAAACCAAAGAAAATATTTGCATCCAAGAGAGATGAAGTTAGGAATGGATGATATACAGTACAAAATGTAAGGATGTTATAAATGGATGAGAATATTAAGAAACAAAAAACAAGTGACAAACTCCGAAATCAGAACATTAAGGCAAGATCTCAAAACGGAAACACTTCCAAAGAACTTGGTCAAATTATAAATACTGTGGTATGGAAGAGACTAAATAAACAACCCTTTGGGAGAACATGACTTAGGTGCATACATAAAGAGAGGCAAGATATGCTTAAAAATTAGAGCAGTTAAGAGTGGGCAGACACGCAAGAAGAATGCTTTAGAATTGTACAAGACTTCATCATACAATAACTTACCCTGATGGATATATCTACTGATGACTGATTACATACGCAGTAATTAAAAAATCCTTCAGCCAGCAAAACATGTAAATACATTAATGTTCAATTGATGACATTTGCTGAGTTATATTTCATCACTTTTTAAGATAATTTATTTATATTTAATATCTTTACATTGTTTTTTTTAGAAGTATTAACAAAGAAAGATTCCAAAGTTATTATCTCTTTTTGTCTGGAATTTTACATTACATTTAAAACAAAATACTGATCATGTAGTGAAGACTTGCACACAGCTTTAGGTATTTCTTTACACGAGTGACCTCAGTGGTGGATTGAGATTAATTTTTCATGCAGAGGCTAAATAAATAGACAATTGGGTCTGACATTTATAATCTTTTAAGCTCAAAGTCGCCTCCTCCAGCTCAGTAGGGTTCAGATCAGAAAAATCTGGACCCAGACTACTGGACTTCCACAACAACTCCACATGTCCAGAAAATGGTTCGTCAACCATGTATCCCCTCACATGGAGAGTGGGGATGAGTACCATCATTCTGAAACAACATGCCCTACCAAACACTAAGAGCTGTATCCATCAATAAAATTGAAAATATTCTTTCAAGGATATCAGCATTCTGAATTCCATTGTGTTGATTCACTAACACACATGGCATAATTAGGAAACTGTCAATAATCTGGGCCCAAACATTGATGCTAAATGTTTGTTGAAATAAATAACACTGAACAGCACACCAATTCTGCAGTGCTCATATTAGACTGATTGAACCAAGGTTGGCAATCTATAAAAATGGTGTTTATTATATGGGTATTAAAGCATTTAATCATCTACCTCCCTACATAAAGGAATTATCAGAGGATAGGATCCAATTTAAAAATGTCCTAAAAATTATCTTTTATTGAATTCCTTTTATTCATTGAAGGAGTTCTTTGATGGTGAAATTTGGTGTTAAGGATGACATTGACGCTTTCACCCTATGGATGGATCTATGGAATTGGAATTTTACCTGATATATAGAATGAATTAGATGAATATAATTTTATGTTTTGATGAAATATTACTATAAATTTTATATTATATAATGAATTTTTATAACTTTGACTCATGCCTTAGCATACAGCTTGTTTATATTGTATCTGGTTTACTGTTATCAATTGTTGTATTGGAATATTGTCTTATCTCACATAATTTTGTCAATTTTATTAATGAAGTGAACCAGAATTAGAATTTTGATATTTATTGTATCCGATGTAAATTTGTTTATGTATGTCCGCTTTATGCTTTATAATTGTTTGCATGTATGTTTGTTTTGTTTTTGACATGTTTCAATTAATTATTGTAACTTAAATTTTGATCTTGTGACTCATTCTATATCCTATGGCTTGTATTATGCCTGTATCAGGATCAATTAGAAAGTGAAATAAATGAATGAATGAATGAATGAATGAATGAACTATTTCCTTCATTCTTTGCGAATTTTATCCACAGTACACAGAAGAACATGACAGGTTCATCTACAGTTTTGTGCAGAAGCTACTGGCAGAACATGAGGCGAGAATTATTGTCCCTGGTTGCAGTTTTTGTACAAACTGTACACTAAAATGAAAAAGACACAACTGTTCCTCGTGCAGTGTATGTCAAACTGGACTCTTGAGAGAGATCTGTTTCATATGCAACCTGACAAGCACTATTTGATGCCTTAATACACACAGCATCTAACACTTCTTCTTCATTCTACATAATGCAACTGCAATGATCAATATCCTGAAGGCATGAATGCACCTATGTCTTTCATTCCCCTGATGGAGGTTTAGTATTTTCATGACAAATGTCATACATGAAATGCTTAATGGCATACGCTCAACCAGTAAATTGTGCCACTTGGTTCACTGTTATCACTGCTTTGTCATCAGAGAATGCAGTATGAGCCGTATCTTGTGACATTATGATGGCTCCAATATATTAATATTAAAAATAATAATTAAACATCTGAAATTCCATAACTCTGAAACACAGATGAACTGGATAACTGTTTAAGATTTGAGGCTTTCACGGCGGTGACTATGAAGAAAGCAGTCTTCTGGGATTTGGCACCGTGTATATGTGGTGTTAACCGACGTTTCGGACCGTTTCTTACGGTGTTGTCGCTTGCAGATTTCTTATACTTTTTCTTCTACCCTGAAGATGGGGGCGATACGTTCCTCCGAAACGTCGGTTAACACCACATATACACGGTGCCAAATCCCAGAAGACTGCTTTCTTCTGGATAACTGTTTGTTTACATTTCCTGCTCTAAATTATCTTAACAACCTCCTAAAGCCTGGTCATAGGACTTAAATCACCATGTATAATGAGCAACTTAGCACAGGTATTCCTTGTTTTATAAACACTCTACCTACAAATTTTCATCACAACAAAGCATATTAATTCCTATATATTTTTCAACTAACAAACTTAATTTCTGCTACAACACACAACTGATGTTAATACAACGTTTTTTGCAAAGGTGGAGAACTCTATGCATAACACATGGGGAGGAGGTGAAAAGCAGACACACCCACACATCTCCCACCCTCTCAATCTGCCCTGACGCCTCAATGTGATCGCACAGAATCAGATATGCTCTTGATGCTTGCATTCTGTCAATAAATATCTGCGCTATATGTGCAGATCATGGCTCTCAAACAAGTGAAAGTGGTTGCAAGAAGTGCTGCTGATAAGCCAAAGGAAGTAAGAAAATTAAGAAGTTTGGCTACAAGCTGCATTGTTGCATTGCATCAGCTATGATACAGAAAACTAATACAGTTTTATTTGCAATAATAAATATCACAAACATGCAATACTGTCATTATTTTAATGCTTATTTACAATTAAAATATAAGTTAAAAATATTGGGGGATTTTTTCCTAAGACTCATGAATGAGCCAGTGACTTTTACTACAATATGAAGCAATGGGAATATCATTTTCGATTCATGAATTTTCACTTACAAGCACTTTCTGTGGAACAAATTATCTTTGTAAATCAAGAGATACCTGTAATTTATATAGCTCACAGATTTCATTGTTAGAGTCATTGGTTTATTTCATCATGGCTCCGGATATATACTCATTCACTCATCACTGGTGAGTTACTGGAGACTAGTATATTTTTAACTCTCAGCATAAGTATATGGGCTAGTGGATTTTGATCAGTTACTAGCTGTTTCAAGCAGTATTTCTGGAGGTGTGCTTTTAATGGTGTGTCAACTACTGAGCATATACACTATCAAATGGAAAATGACACTTGAACTGTAGAGATGTTAGAGAAAGCTGTCTTTGATCAGTCTAGAGGAAATGAGTCATATGTAGTTACAATATGATATCACCAGGGTGTTTACCTCTATTCCTTTGCCGTAATTGTTCTACTTCTTGGTGAAGACTGGTCAACATGAGTTTGTGTTGGTCTTGCAGGAATCTGATGTTCTGCTCAAGTTGAGTAATTCGCAAAAGGGGATCCACTGGTGCCACTACAAGACCTTCCGACCTCCCCACTGCAGCCATATCAGGACCCTTCTTGTTAACCTAAAGACATGCAGCAATTCATATGTAATTCAAGGTTTATGAAGACCATAACATTAAGAGTTTCAGCAGAAGTACCCCAGCCCATATTTTCTCAGCCTTTCTCTGTTTGTGCAACCCTTTCAGCCTAAGCAATTCCAAAGAACTCCAACAGAATTAAAATCAATGGACATTAGTAAGATCTGTAGGATTTGAAGTTTTCACAATGGTTGGTATGAAGAGTACTATCTTCTGTGATATAACGCCATGTAGTCTGTTGAAAGCCAACCAATATTTCGGAGGAACATATCTCCATCTTCAGTGTGGAATAAGCCAAGCAAGATACCAGCATGAAAATAGGTGGGAAGCTGAGTAATCAGATTATATACAAGTAAGAAGCAAGAAAGTAATGAAAGAGTGGTCCTCAGTTCCCATTGGCTCACCGTGGGACAGACTGGAACCACCGGGTTCTCCTTCTGTTCTTGTCTAAACTGTTTCACTCAGTGGTCATGTGAGAGCCCAGCGGTTTCATTCTGTCCCACAGCCAGCCAACAGAAACTGAGGCCCACTCTTCCATTTTCTCCTGCTTCCTGTACAGTCCAAAATTTCTAACCAGCCAATTACTCGGCGTGCCACCTACTTTCATGCAGGCATTTTTCTGGGCTTATTCTACCCTGAAGATGGAGACAATATGTATTTCTGAAATGTCAGTTAGCTTTCAATGGACTACACAGCATGATATCCCAAAAGATAGTACTCTTTGTTAAAAAGGTTTGCTGGGTTTTTTTGGGGGGGGGATACAAACAATATAACTACAATAAACGAAACATTCTAGAACAAACTGATTCTTTTAAGTGTCCATAATAAGCATTCAAAATTCTTGTTCCACAGTTTCCTGAACAGAAATGGAGCTTCAACAATTAATTTGTAGGTACGTAACTTTATATTCAGTTTCAAAACAGCACAGGTTCCTTTCCTGCAGAATTCACAGAGAAGCAAACAACACATACGATGTGCTTAATTTAACAAGTACCTAACACAGCGTCTTAGATACTCTACATCCACATTCATGCCATATTACACACAAATATTCCTAGGACATGTGAATTTTAAAAATGTGAATTTATTTTCATACTGTCAACTAATTTCGACTGATTTCAGTTACTACAACTCACTTTAATACGAGCTGCTTGCCAGCTGATCAGGTGTGGCGATCAAAGGTGGAGCAGAGTACTGTATGAGTGGTGGGAGGGGAAATTCAAGGGGTGAAGGAGAAATTGCTGCATCCATGCAAACCTTTCCTGCACATCTGCTATTACATGAGAAACCAAAGCCTAGCAGACAACTGCAGTTGGATTAGAGAAGTCATGACTAGCACATCCATCAAATATCTCTAGTGAATTGTGGTCCTCAACTTCATGACCATAAATGTGAAACTCAATACTGCTGATTTCTTCAACCAATTCAACCCCCTTCTGTACCATAACAATCACCTGCTTCATTATCATCTTCAACTATCTATCCATACAACTCAGTGACTCATGCATCAGATTACTTTAGCAATTCATCTACCATATGAGTCAGTGTTAATTCTCATTGTTTTTCATCATTAATACAAAGTGTTTCTGTCAGATGAAAACTATTTTAAAAAAAGAACTCCGTGTCCTGTAGTCCACAAGCGAACTATTCAGACCGAGCAACCGCCACTTGTCAGCGAAGTTAGTGCCAACTTTTGTGGATATGTGGTCAGCGCAATGCATTCCCACAGCCATTAATCTAGGTTTTCCAGACCGGAGCCGTTATTTTCTTGAAATAGCTCCTCAATTATCCTCACAAGGCTGAGTGGACCCCGTTCCAGACCCACTTCTCAGAAAATCTGGAAGCGCCGGGAATCGAACCCGGGACCTCTGGATCTTTAGGTTTAAAATATATAGTTTTAATGTGTTCCTTAGTGTTTGAGAGAGAGAGAGAGAGAGAGAGAAACGTACACCAATGTGTCTCAGAACAACTGGACAAGTGAGTCTGACATAGTGGTGCGTGTTTTCTATGCACAAGGACATAATGCAATCCAATTTCTTAGCAATGTCTAGCATTCGCTTTTTAAAGTAAATAACTGGGAACATAATTTAACCATATTGAAATGACAAATATTTTAAAATAAGAAAAAAGTTATACAGTACTGCATAAGATAATCAGTGTAAGTAACAACAAGAACATTCTTATACTTTGTGTAGCAGACCTCAGACACTTCTATTGATTCTGACGGGGAAATTATGTCTGATTATACAGTTTCACCTTCTGTAACTTTCTACTGAACACAACTGTCTCATGAATGGATGAGTACCTGTACCTTAAATGGACTCCAAATTCAAGAATTGTTTTTAAACCTTACATAAATTTTTGCATTTAGCAATCTTATAGCTTTTAATCTGGAAAAAAAGATGTCATCAGAGATGTTACAAAGAATGATGACAGGGAGATATATCTTCTATGTATTCTGGTAAAACAGTATCAATATTGTATCAAGAATTAATGAAAATATTGGATTTCAATTAAAATATAAAGCATATCTTTATATCAACCTGATATTCCCTAATTCTTATTAACACATTTACTTCACTTTCTGTGTTTTATCAGAGACTAAATGTTCCTGCATGGCATACCATTCTGTAGCATCAGAAGAAAAGCCCTTCACATACCACAAATCATGACAAGTTTTTCCACTCTTAAATCCCTATTGTCTATAACACACCAAATCTCAATTACATACACATCTCAGTATCCTCTAATACATGTATTTTCTTGACCGACGGTTCACTGTACTTGCAAAGTACCTGACATACATAGCACTGATCCCTACAATGACAGTGCATAAAACAGCTGCACCTATACTACAACTCACTTGAGAGAAAGGTACAGTTGGAATCTTGACTAAAACTTTGGATGCCATGATATTAGATTTGTTTCCAGATGACAGTGAAAATTGAAGTGGTAGACTGAAGTGCTGTGTCAGCTTAGTCACTTTCTAACACTGGCAATGAGCACACCACACCTCCAAGCTTATTTAAGGATGACTCACAACAACATTCAGGCCAAGTGCAATTCTTTCTAGCCACCTTTAATACAGACGGTCTTATGACCTTCACAAATGACACATGTATAATACTGTACTTGGGGAAAAAAAACACTTCAAAACCTGATGCCAATCCTGGACTGTCTAACAGAAATAAATACACATTGGTATATATTTATGGTTTTTTAAATGCAATCATTATAAACTACAAAGCATTTAGATTGTAAATATTATGCAGTTTCTCTCAAACAGAACCAGCTTGCTCTAAATATTCATTATAATGGCTCCCATAAGTCTGTACACCACTGAAGAGACCCAAGTATTGATTATTTGGAATCTACAAGGTAGAATCATATACTACCACCAGATAGCAGTTCACACAGTATATTTTGAGTGATCACTTTCACATGCAGGTTTAATAACCTTGTCACAATTTAATTTATAAATCACAAGTTACAATATGCAGAAATAAAAATATATGTGCTTCAGAATGCAAGGAAATATTCTGAAAATTGTGTGTTGAAATATCACAAATGTGCATACAGTGTTCTAGTGTTAATGTTAGGCAGTTTCACATGTACTGAGCATGCAATTAATGCATTACAATGCATAATAATAACTGTATAGACTAACAGGAAATGCATAGAGTTAAATTCTAGTGATTCAGTTTGGGATTAACACATGAATATAGTCATTTATGGCATTTGATACAATTAAAAAAGTTGAGGATTTATAATATTATAGTTACGTATATACAATACAAACCCTGTGTTTCAAGCATTACAGCTAAGTTCACAAGGGATAGGAGTAACAGTCCAGTTTTTTCTGGCCTGTTACTTTGATGCTATTTTGGTAAGGTTTGAAACACAGGATTTGTACTGTAAGTATTTAACCTGAATATTACAATTTATCAACTTTTAATTGCATCACCAAGCTTAGATGCCCATTTTTGTGTGTTGAGTCCTAACTGAATTTATCAGAGTTTAACTCTATAAATTTTCTGCCAGTACATTCTAAAAGGTTCTGATAATGGTGTATAACACAGGGAATTACTGTGTTTTTGGACTCTGTCCATCATCCAGTATTCCAAAAAACACTAGAGAAAATAACATTTTGGAAAGTGGATCAGTTTCCTGTTATCTCCCTTAAACAAAGCCTGGTCTCAGGTATTTACATAGCTGTAGTTACTATATTTACATGGGTTGACCAGTGATTGAGGTTAACTCTTTCTAAGGGACCCAACATAGTACATGTCTCCCCCTCGCCTGAGGACGGAAACAGATCCAGTTTCCCAAATGTTGTTTCTTCTAGTTTTGTGGAATATCAGACAATGAACAATATAAAAAAACAGCAATTCTGAGCATTTCCTGTCAGCATATACAGTTTTTGTTTTTTGTGTGATGTTTCAATTTGTCTCCAAAAAATGTGTTTACTGCCCCTCAAACTACTCTCCTTCCACCCTCATACGGGAATCCCATCTCCTACATATCACAGACACTCACAAAGACACATCTGTTTTTGTAAATAATTGCAGTACTGCCATGCAAAATGATGAAATCAGAATCCTGTCTTAATTTCAGGAATAAAAACAAGTAACACAAAGGTACATCTGGTGAATGTGATGCATGAACAACAATATAAATCCGCAGTTCTTTGTATGGTTGGTCAAAAAATCTGAATCCACGTGCAGATGTGTTAGGGATAATACCATGAATCAATACACAGCCCAAGTAAGCAAAGATGTCTTAACAAATATGCCTAAGGACACCATAAAGATATATGGGTGCAAGGAGCTGAAGTTCTATGCACTTTTAATTTTGGAACTACTTAAACGGAAGTGAATCCATGGATTTTGTTCAGATCAGTGTGAGTAAAATCAACAGCAGTGGGGTTTAAGCCTTAACAGAGTGACATTCCTCAGAAGACATTTTATTCCACTTAAATATTCTGCTGCAAGATCATCATTTATGCCCACAATTTTCATCATTTCAAACCCTTCCCCAGCCATTGCAACTAAACACAAAATATATGATTTCATATATTTGTTCTACTTGCAAATTTATAATAGGTGTATCACACTTTATGAATTCCAAAGGCAGACAATCAAGAATACCACACATAATGACGATGCAGACATACTTATAACCTACAGCGACTAGATGGACAACTGAGAGGTTGGAGTTTGAGTCCCGGTAGGGTCAAGCATTTTCTCTTCTCCATGTCATCCAGACCAGCTCTGGGGTTCACCCAACCTCCTATCCAACAGGTACCAGGGGGCTCTTTCCCCAGGGGTAAAGCTGCCAAGATGTGAAGCTAATCACTCACCTCCAACTAGTGCCATGGCCAAGAAAATGTGGATCTATACACCCATTCCCTCGTATGCAATCATGGTATAGTGCTTAATTAGTTAAGGACAGGGATCTTCCTTTTACACATTAACACTTGTCCAGCTAGTGCAGAATTCCAACTTTTTATGGAATCCTAAAGTTTATCAACCACATTCATAAAGCATATCACTGAACCCTATCCTGTGACAGTTCAGTCCAGTCCACACCTTTCAATCCTATTGCTCTAAGGCAAATTTTAATATTACCATCATAATTACACTTACTTCTCCCAAGTGGTCTCTTCCCTTAAAGTTTTCCAGACAAAATGTATGCACTTCTTGCTCTCCAGTGTGTTCTATATGTCCTGCCCTTTTTATCAAATATGTACTGGCAATATGCAATAAAGTAAGACATCATACAGCATCAGCATAGAAAAATGCAGTCCCGTTACTTTCTTATCATCTTCCATACAATTGAAATAAATTTGAATAATTAAAAAAAGTCATACTTTCAGTTCAGTTACCTTTTCTAATGCATTCTGCCACTTCCCGGTATTAGAACTTTAACATTCCTCACTGAATTCTATCATGGGCAAGCTCAATTCAATCCATTCCACTACATCCCATCCCTGTAATATCCATCAACCTTTCTGTGTTAATCTGAAAGTTTCATTTCTTAAAACTGTCCACTGAGCATATTATGAAAAACTGAAAGCCTCAATATCACTGTCTTCAGCCCAGTTTTCTAAAGCAGAAATTTTCCAATAAGTCTGTATGAATTAATTTATCTGCTTATGAATATTAATTCATGGCTGTCTTCTTGACTGAGGCCCTCTATTTGGTTATGATAAAATTAACTGTACTGTGACATGACGGCTGTAAGCTTGAAGAGGGGAACAAGATGTGGAGGCCATTGCTAGGCAACGGTATGATAAATACAAGTCTACAGCAACGAATCAACACACAACTAGGGAACTACTGGAAGTAGTGTTTTCTTCTGTGTGGTCTGCACCAAGGCCATATAGCAATAAAGTGTATACATGTCCAAATTTTCAAAACGTCTATCTAACGGAAATATTTTCTTTCTGGGGCATACATAATATAACATAAGTATTGAACATCTTTGAGACATTCTTGTATCTCAAAACTGTACACATATAGGAATTTTTTTTAAGAAATGACAAATGTGTGCAAATAAAATGAAAAAAAAAATAGTTCCATAATCAATTAAAATATCTAGTTCCCTATTAAGTGAGAGTGCAGTTGGTACAGTGACTGGCTACGGACTGGACAGCCAAGGGGTCAGAGTTCAAGTCCCTGTAGGGGCATGATTTTTCTCTTCCCCACACCGTCCAGACTAGTTCTGGGGGCGACCCAGCTCAAGTGGGTACCAGGGGCTCTTTACAGGGGGGGTAAAGCGACCAGGGCATTAAGCTGACGACTCACCTCCAACTAGTGCTGCGGTCAAGAACACATGGATCTGTACATCCACTCACCCATATGCCTTCACTGCATAGTGCTTAATTAGATAAGCACTGGGAAACTTTACCTTTACCTATTAAATAGCGCTTTTTGAATGAAAGGGTATTTCAATATGATAGTTTATTTGTAACGTGAGAGTCTGTTCAATTTTATATGCTGATACATTTTATTGCACCACACTGGTTCAATTCTCACATATATTTTTGGCACAGAAACATTCTATTCTGGGGTATCATTAAACACTATAACAAACACTCACATTGGGAGCAGCCCATTGTCAGTTCTCCAAATACAGTTTGTTACACAAATCAGTTAGCGGCCTCCGTAGTCTGAAGGTAACGTTCCCACCTCATGACTCGTGGTACGCGGGTTCAAATACCCGCCGGAGGTCATCAAATTTTTAAGGGCGGAAAAATTCAGGGAACAAGTCCTCCGGGAGGGACTTTAAGCTGTGTGTCCTGTGTCATAACTTTACGGCACGTAAAACAACCTCATATCCCCAAAGGGGATCACTGAGCCAAATTCCAGGACGTTTCCCGGCCAGCAATAGTCTCTAAGGCCTCTGATAGATGGGGGAAGCATTACAGACACCGCTAAGCAAGTGGCCGAACTCGCTTGCTCGGCAGGACTGATGGTACGCACCATTTATCGGTAGTGTATAGAGACTGGTAGAATATCATAGAGGGAAGCACAATAGATCAAACTGGTCGCGGTGCATGGGGAAACCCACCCTCTCTAAATAACTAACTAACTACACAAATCAGTTGATATCCTTCATGTCTAGAAACGTATGGATAAATTCAAGTCTGAGTAATGCTGCTCATGAAATAGTTTGCTGTAGGACTAATAAGCTGTGACCTTTAAAGGTATGAGTACGAGAAATTCTGCAAGGAACTTACTTTTCTAAATCATAGTCTTTCATCTCGGACAGAATCAGAGATCACTTGCTGATTATGTCTAAGTGTGTTTTGTACACGTTTACAATATTAAAGAGGCAGAACTACGTTTAACACAAACCGCACTGAAAACCATGAACTATAACCAGTCGTTAAACATACTTTTATTTTCTGGGCATCTGTACAATGCAGCAACCAACTGTACTAGTTCACTTCAAACTGTCGGCATTAGTAGCCATAAATAATAACAAAATTTAATGACAGTTTGTGACAGAGTTATGGTTAAAGTTGAATACATCAGACTAATCCATTTTAGGTCTGTAAACAACCAAAATTTGGAGAAATGCTCATGGACACCATACTGTATAAGTAATTCATTATCTGTAATTACTAGACCTAACTGAAAGTATTAATAGGTTCATTGGAGAGATGACAAACTGTGCAGGTCATTTGATTTTGAGATAATGTGAAAATATTTCACACCCTTATCTGTTCTAATCAAGAATATGTGGATCTATACATGCAGTCTCACACACGCCTTCATAGCATAGTGCTTAATTAGTTAAGCACAGGGATGACTTTACCTTTTCTATATCCATTCTGGATGCTGTGAATTTATACCTGGATAAAATATGCAAAAATGAAATATGGATGATGATAACCCTAATTATGTAGAGGTCAGCATATCTAAATAGTTAATGAGATTCTTACCCTTCCATTCATTTTGTTCCTTTGGAAAGACAAATCATTTTCATTAACATTGGAAAGTGGTCTTGGATACAGACCAATTTCTAGTTTTCCTCCTCTACTCCACTGTGGATATTGAGACGTTAGTGGTGGCAACACTACTCCTTTACTGTGTGGAGATTCTTGTGAAGTCCCAGGCAGAACTGTCACTGATCGTGAATCCGATGGTCTCATGTCGTTGTAATGATATTACTTCATCAAGCAGTTGCAAGTCACTTTGCCTTTTTAATATGAGTTATACACGTATATATGCACTTACATATTCAGCGATTAATCTTAAATAACACTACTTCAGAATTTTTAATGATTACGGTAACTGCAGAATTTCCGAGCATTGCTGAGGTCACACTTCGGTAAAGTTGTTACTGATACCTACAAACCGTCTACTATAATATATTTTTAAATTACTCTTCTTTGTGCAGAAATCTAACTTCAAATATAACCAGAACAAGCATGCTTTCGGTCTACGAGATATGCCGGTTAGCCCACATTGCTAATTCTGTTCTGTCAAAAGTCAAACAGGCCACTTTCTCTTGGCCGGTTAAGAAATATGGGTTATGGCCCTAACATATCCCATTCAAAGGAGCGGATTAAACTTGCCCTACTAACTGCATTCTTTACACAACCTTCTCACCCTTTCCTACCTTACTGCTGATCTGCTAATACTGAACACACATGCTCTTATTGCTAACAAAATATTTATGGTGGGCGGGGCAACAAGGACAATATACAACCATTCGCGATTGAGCGTACTTCAGTACTTCACTAAATAACATTTCTGAAAAAAAAATTGTATAATACTTTTACTTGTGGTAAGACCTGATTTGTTAGACTCGAGCTACCGAATTTATTCAATGCTTATAATTGATCGTGTTAATCTTTTAATTGATTAGAGTGAAGCAGCCATTTTAAGTCTGGTTTGAGGGATTTCAGTACGCGGCCTGAATATTGCTTTCTTTTGGCTGTATAAAGGAGGATCCGGAATGGTTCCAATCTGCTCAATTTGGATAACAAAAAAATCTGTAGAAATTAATTGGCCCCGTACGGCTTGGATCCGCTCCACTTATAGACATTCCAGTATCCTTGAATCCTTGCATGTAGTTCTCCACAATTGGAGATTGAACGGACCGGAACATTCGTGCTTCGTGGATGCTCGGCAGTTTCCGACTCCCATAGGCCTCCCGCCTAAATTGGGGTTTAAACTATTGTCCGGTGTCGCTGTCCTTGTCGTCCTGGTTCTATGGCTTCTCACGTAGGGCTCCATCTATCAGCCTAATTTGTAATATTGCTACTTTTTTGTTTTTGTATGCAGTGTGTGATTGAAAATCCGCGAAACTTAAACATCTTATGTATTCTTGTGGCGACATTATAACCGAGATTTAAATGAATTCCTTCGGGTTTTTAGCTTTTTTGTGTTACATTTAGACGAAAGTACAGACTATGTTCGAGGATGATTTACTGTTATCAACTAAATACGTGGATTCAAGGAATGGTGAATGTGATGTAAGAGTTCCAGTGCCAGTTAATTTTGAAAATACATCTCCAGTGAATATTTATTCACCGAACGGTAATGCAAATGAATTCAAATTCAAGGTAAAACAGCTTTATAATACAGGTTGCCTGTAAAACATAATTGCTTATTCAGAATTAGGGTTTTTGAACTTTGTCTATCTTCCAGTATTCTAGAAACTAGAAAACAGCGTTTCGGAAACTGGATCTGTTTCCGTCCTCAGGTGAGGGGGGGAAAACACCGACTCAGTTCGGTCCCTTAGAAAAAGCTAACCTCAATTACTGTTTATATTTAGCCGCTTGGCAACTTATTTCAAATGGAATTTGAAAGTTGGGTACAGTGCTGTACAGAAAAATGTTTCGGCCTTTTTTTGCTTAGTGATTTCCTTCAACCTACAGGCATTCAAGTAATAAACTTCAAGAAATCCATAGTTACTTAATCCATATCGTTGCCATCTGTGCAGAAGTCCTCGTGTGCTTATTCTGCAGTCCGGTTCACAACCTCAGTCTCCTTTCCAAAAATTGTTTTTAATTTTATAGAATATGTTCTAATCTTGATTTAACTTCCCAAAAAACCACCATATGTAACTTCTCCTGTGACATCTTCAATTCTGTGTATAATAATTGTTTTCAATTTTATAGACTTCATTATAATCCTGATTTAATATTCCAAATAATAGCCATATAAATTATGCAGTTTCTCACCTAATATCCTCCATTTTGCATGTAATCGATCTCAAGTTACTTACCTTATTAAATGTTTTCGCACAATTCACAACCATTTTATGTAAATATGGGTTCCCTATGTTGTGTTAGAGAAGTGCCAGCTATAATTTGACCTCATTCCTTCACAATTCATGTAGATTTCATACACTGACTTATTCTTAAATCTAAAATGCAGGAAAAACGCAGCTGCTGCTTATAACATGTGTAGTACTGTAGGCAGTAGATGAAGTTTCATTCACAAAATTTAAATTTTGAAGTCTGAGGTTCTCATGGTGGGAAAGATCAAAATTATGGTCTTCTGAGTTATGATGCCATCATGTTTGGTAGATGAGTACCAACATTTTGGAGAAACTTTCTGCTTCCATATTCAGTGTACGGTGATAGAGTCACCAGTTCATCTGAATATTGGTATCTATCTAGCAAGCCTCATTGCATCACATCCACCACCACTGATCATAAAATTTAAGACAGCAACTGAAGAACCAACAAACCTATGCACAATGTGGAAACTTACACAGTTTGTGATATCACTTGGCATTGAAGGACAGTTATTTTTCCTTATTAGGTGGATTTTCTATATCACTATTAGACTCTACTTCTGTACTTAGAGATTCTTGATTTGTCTTTAACTCTGGTGCATACTTTGACAGATGCAAAGCATCACTAGACAAAAGCCTGGAATAGTTTATTGGTAGAGGTGAGTGATCCAGTGGCCTCTTAATCACTGTAATTACATTGATTTGAAACATTGACTGTAATCATTGAAATTGTTAAGCTTCCAGCTATAGCTATGACCTGGGGAAAGGAGGGGTGGATAAGAGAAACTGGGACTGAGATTTGAAAAAGGAGAGTAATTTAATATTCAGAGCAGAAACACTTTTACTTCTTGGTATGTAC